ACTTCCGTCTTGTCTTGATTTAAAAGCAAAAAGTTTAGAGTCATCCAATTTTTTATGTCCTCAAGACAAGCCTGTAATCTACCCAACCGATTAGGTTCATCAGGGTTAATGGATAAATATAACTGAGTATCGTCAGCATAACAGTGGAAGATTATCCCATGCTGTCTAATGATTTTACCAATTGGGAGCATATACTGTACCTAGTAAAAACTGGGTACTGTAACTCAGTATATATATTACCTCTACTTGTGACCAGTAAGCTGTGATACTCTATCTAAATATAGAATAACACCTTGCCTGGTCTTTATTGTTTAATCAGAAGATTCTAGGATTCCTTATTTATTAGGGGATTGTACACACTTCTTTTTGATTCAGAAAAGAGTCAGAAACAGTAAGAATTTATTTTACAAACAATTAAAACATGACAAATTGGTTAACTATTATTGTATGAGTGGATGGAACTAACGGTGATGTGTGGAACCTATGTGAAGATGCGCTGTTGGTCAGAACTTCCGTATCTCAGAGAGCTGAGTTCTGGATGTAAAATAATTTGGTTTGCGTTAAGCTATGAGATTGATTGTTATCAAAAACCCACATCAGACGCTATCTGTGTGTCTACGTTACCCGTATTCAGAGACCCTCTTGGTGGATCCAAAAGTCAGACAGGTCGGATGACCGCTGGCACCGGAGGGCTGTAGAATACCGTGGTACCGATCCTTTCAGTCCAGAGATGTCTCGGGTCACGACAGACAGATGGATTCGAGCATCTGGGACTCTTGAGTCTAAACAATATCCGCTTGTTCTGCGGGAACTGTTTTGTTGTATCAGCTTCGCAGATGCCAAAGAAAGTTTTGACGACGTGTCAAAAGCTTTGGTGGTTAAAGAAGTTCTTGCTTCAGGTGTCTGGCCTGAAGCTTCTCTAGAACTGAAGAGATGGCCAAGTAATCTGTTTTTAATGTTATGATGTTATGATTGTGTAGCCAACCAAAAATTGACAAGATTGGATGTTACCAAGAATCTCAGAAACACGCCTTCTTTGATCCGGAGGCTCGGATCTGGGTAAAAGGTTAATTATGTGTCATGGACTTAACTTTACCTTACTTTGTACTTCTGTGAGTGCAAATGTTATGACCTGGTCAAGTAAACATGCTGAAACATTCATTGAGCACAGATTAATGAAATACTTCATTATTTTATAATTATTATAAGTAGCTATAAGCAAACGTTTATTTAATAATTATCTGGCTTGTAAATTTCAGAAGTTCATATTTAATTTTAAAATCTTCTTTCTTCTTTGAAGCGAGGAGTTTAGATATAAGGGTGCTCTGTGATGGACCTTTGAAAGAACAGGATGTCAATCTCATGATTCCAGGATGTCAGCAAGCAGTTCAGGATCTTGTGGCTTGTTGGCAGCTAGAATATAAAAATCCACCTCATAGGACTGAATTAGGTCTGTAGATGACTGATGACCTGTAGGTCATCTGTAGGTGAAAACTGACCATTTGTGGACGTTACACTTGGGTGGCCACTATTTTCTCAGGACTTTGGATAAAAATGGAAGGTTGGATATTGGTCTATAATTCATTAGGTCGGTTCATTCAGTTCAATTCAATTCAAAAATACTTTATTAATCCCAGAGGGAAATTGATTGCTGTAATAGCTCAGAATAATAATAATAATCAAGTCATCAAAGAGTTATTGTATATTACAATGGCTGTTGGCAGGAAGGATCTCCAGTAGCGGTCAGTTTTGCAGCCAAACTGAAGAAGCCTCTGACTGAAGACACTCTTCTGTTGTCGGACAGTCTTGTGAAGAGAATGCTCAGGGTTGTCCATCATTTTCTTGATTCTCTGGAGAATCCTTCTTTGCATTATCTCCTCCAGCGGTTCCACAGTCGTCCCCAGAACAGAACCAGCCTTTTTTATTAGGCTGTTGAGCCTTTCAGGTCCCTGCTTCTGATGCTGCTACCCCAACAGACGATGGCTGAAGAGATTACACTCTCAACAACAGACTTGTAGAAGATCTGCAGCATCTTGCTACAGACATTGAAGGACCTAAGCATCCTCAAGAAGTGCAGTCTGCTGTGTCCCTTCTTGTAAACGGCTTCGCTGTTCTTTCTCCAGTCCAGTCTGTTGTCCAGGTGAACTCCAAGGTGTTTGTATTCCTCAACCACCTCCACTTCTTCTCCCATGATGGAAAAAGTGTTTGACTCCACCCTGTTTCTTCTGAAGTCTAAAATCATCTCCTTTGTTTTGTTCACGTTCAAGGTCAGATGATTGTTTCCACACCATGCCACAAAGCGCTCCACCAGCTCTCTGTACTCAGCTTCCTGTCCATCTCTGATACACCCGACAACTGCTGAGTCATCTGAGTATTTCTGTATATGACAGGTCTCTGATTTGTACTGGAAGTCTGAGGTGTACAGGGTGAAAAGGAATGGTGAGAGTACAGTCCCCTGTGGTGCTCCAAAGTTACTGATCGCCTGGTTTGATGTGCAGTTCTTCAGCCTCACAAACTGTGGTCTGTTTGTCAGGTAGTCTTTAATCCAGGCGATAGTTGAGGCCCCCACCTGTGTCTTCTGGAGTTTCTGGCAAAGTACATCAGGCTGGATTGTGTTAAATGCACTGGAGAAATCAAAGAACATGACCCTGACAGTGCTGCCTGCTTTGTCCAGATGACAGTGGGTTGGTTGAAGCAGCTGGATGATGGCATCTTCAACTCCAACTCCATGGTGATAAGCAAACTGCAGCGGGTCCTGATATGTTCCAGTTTGCTTATTCAGGTGGACCAACAGGAGTCTCTCCAGGACCTTCATGATGTGGGATGTCAGGGCAACCGGTCTGTAGTCGTCATTGACTGATGGATTAGATTGATTATCTCTAGAATGGGGGCAGTAACCAAAGAAAAAGCATTTTAAAATAATTTGGTTGGGATTGGATCTAAAATGCAAGTTGAAGATTTAGATGAAGCTAATATTTTTGATAACTCTGAAAGCTCAACTGGATCAAAACACAACTACATCAGAATGAAGCTGGCTTGTCCAGATGTGCTTTAGCAAACCTCAAGCTGCTGTTTGTGCTGTGGGTGGAGAAAAGGCTGCCTCTGCATCACTCTCACATGCAGCATCTCCTTGTGTAAAGTGCACCGAATAGTTGAACGATGCACAGTGACTCCATCTGCAGCAAGATGATGTTGTAGGTCTTTGGTGCTGGTCTGTGGTTGACTCTGACTGTCCTCATCATTCTTCTCTTCTGTTTATCTGAGATTTTTCTTGTTCTGCCACTTGGAGCCTTAAGTTGAACTGGTCCTGTGGTCTTCCATTTCCTCAATATGTTCCTAACGGTGGAAACAGCTGAAATCTCTGAGACAGCTTTCCGTGTCCTTCCCCTAAACATGATGGTGAACAATCTTTGTTTTCTGCTCACGTGAGAGTTGTTTTAGACCCCATGTTGCTGCTCTTCAGATGATATTTGTAGAGGAGGGAAGCTTACAGTTGTTCCCCTTAAATACTCCTTCTCATAATTGGATTCACCTGTGTACGGAGGTCAAATGTCACTGAGCTTACCAAACCAATTTTGAGCTCCAATATTTAGTTCTAAATGTTTTGGAATCAGTAAAATGACAACAGTGTTCAAATGTATGCACCTGCCTAATTCTGTCTGAACAGTTACTGCAATTTCTGTAAATCCTGTAAACTTGTTTCACTTCTCAGATGGCCCTGTGTGTGTGTCTCCTACACGATATATTTCACTGAAATGTTATCATAAGAACCAACGATTCATACAGGAAAATCATGAAGATTAACGAGGCTGGACCCCACTAGTGATGTTACGCTGGAGCGGGCCGCTCGACCCCTGTGTCGAGCTTTCAGATCAGAAAGACGTGTTGATGCCGACGCTTCATTGTGACTCTTCCAGTTGAAGCGAGCCATCGGGGAAATGTCTACAATTGAGCTATGAGGGGAGAAAAAAATGTCTGCAATAGTCATCCCCATGATTAGAATGAAGATTAGATTGTAGGAGTTATCTCCCTGTCCACACCTTCTGAGTCGATGCCTGCTGCTGAATAGTCATTCTGCTGGGACAGTCACCCGGTAACACAACTACAGCAGGTAATATAATTAGTGACAGATTGTATATAAGCTCATGTCTATATCTAATATAAGATTTTAAACAACAAACTGACAGATTAGGACATAAATTTATTGCCACCTTTATTTCCTTGTGTGTTCCCTGCTGATGCGATGTTGAAGTCTGGCCAGCAGATATCACTCATCTTATTGGGTTCACATGGTTCCCAACACTGAACCAAACCATTTGGTTCAATGGTTTGGAAAGCTTTGGTTTCTCCATCACTACATCCCACTGTGAATGAAGTACTGTGTGTGGTTGCTGTGGAAACGGACACGGATGCATCCATAAAAAAGGGTGCGATGATGACAGGAACGTTGTGTAATCCTAACATGTCTGTTTATGTGGTGATCAGCTGGTTAATGACTGGTTTTCTGGTTCATGTCATCAGTTTTTTATTTACAAAAGAAAATATTCATATTTTTACAAAAAGTCGTGGATCTTAAAACATTCTTGCAAATGAAACTTTATTGTGGAAGTCTCATTGGATCTGGATCCTGGTGGCTTTTCTGTTCTAGCGACCTTTCTCAGTGGCCTAGTGGTAGAGTGTCCGCCCTGAGACTGGGAGATCAGGGTTCGATTCCTGGTCGGGTCATACCAAAGACTTTGAAAAAATGGGACCTAATGCCTCCCTGCTTGACACTCAGCATTAAGGGGTTGGATTGGGGGGTTAAACCACCAAATGGTTCCCGAGCCCGGCTGTGTCTGCAGCTCACCGCTCCCCCAGGGGATGGGTCAAATGCGGAGAGCAAATTTCGCGCACACACCTGTGTGTGTGACAACTAATGGAACTTTAAACTGTTGACACCAAGCCGCTGCATAAGTAGTGAACTAGCTCTGACTGACCTTTCTGGGGTTTGAATCCTGCAGGAAAAACGTGGAGCGGCGGTGTCTACTGGAGAACATGGAGGGAGTGTTCCTGGTGGTGGATGAAATCATCGATGGCGGGTATGAGAGACGCACGTGTGTTCACTTTAAAAAAGAGAAAGGAATGATTAAGCAGGGAGAGAGGTTGCATAATTTACTCCAGAGCTTCGAATGAAACCTGAGCAAAATCGGATGGAAGCAGGGGCGTGGCTACCACTTCTTACCAGGGCCCACCCACTGAAATGGCATCCCTAAAAATGTATGTACATTTATTTTATTTTGGAGGGGTGTCATTTCAGGCTATTATAAATTGAAATGAAACAGACTTAAACTAAAATTTATAGTAGTTCTGATGTATCTATATATAGATAAAAAATACCTGTATACATGTCCCCAGCGCCGGCGCTCCGCACACGCACAACACGCACAGAACGTAGGGCACCACGCCAGGGAAGGGGCACCAAACGCAAGCTTATGAAAAAAATAATATATATATGATAAAGACAGATTTCAATTAAAAGATGTGCAAAGCAAGTTAACAGCATGTTTACAGAGAGAAAACAATACAAAAAGGAAAGGAGATGGACCGTGTCCACTTTGCACTCTCTGTCTGGGACGTCCGGACTGCGGGTTCTTGTATTGATGAAAATGTCCGGCTTTTCATCCAGGAGCAGGGATCGAATTATGGGGGAGCTGTATATCCTACACATCCAGGGGAGCCGGAAAAAGTTTTCTAACTATATGACATCACAAAGCTTTTGTACTTAGGGCACCAAAATAGCTAGCAACAGCCCTGCATGTCCCAGTGCCCAGTTTAACAGTGCAATTTAATGATTCCACTTGTGGCCAGAGCGCACTCGCTCACCTTCCTTCTGCTCTGCGTAAACCTGAACTGGTCGCTTGTGTGCAATCAAATGTCTCGCTGCCACATGGACTGGAATAACAAATTCTGCAGTAATATGAGTTGTGGTGAGGTTCATGACGAGGCACAGACTGGAGCGCACTTGTGTCCCAAAACAGAAGCTAATATCTTAATTTGGCCTTGAATGAAAAATGTTGTTATAAAACCTCTTATATGCTGTAATCACGGAGGAGGCGCTGCTCCTTTCTGCCTTCGGTCTGACGGCACAGCGCCGGAGTTTACGCAGCATGCGCTCTGTCTGAATCAGAGTGTGTGTGCGGCACAGCTCCATGAGCCGCTCCAGTCATTGCGTCTCGTTGTTGGCACTACGTGAACCAATGTTGTAAAATCACTCACTCCCAAATGTGTGCACCTGCGGGCCGTGGTTCTGCTGGAACGCATATGACCTGTGTGACAGGCGCACTCTGAATAACGCAGTGACACATTTAGAATGCTGTCCCAGTGTGATGTAATAACGCTTTAATGCTCTTTTCTTTCTTTATTTGTTGTTCTGTGTGTGACGTTTACAATGTCTGCACACCTGCATGAGGCAGGGTGTTAATTACAACCTGTGGGGAGGATTGACCCCCTTCAGATTTCTCCGTCAGCGATAAAAAATGATCACATACGGAAAATGTCTTGCAATGAGAGCGTGCGCAGGCCAGAGAGCTCGGAGCGCATTGTGGTTCACAAGCCAATAGAAAAATGTTATGATGCAGAATGCACATGCGAAGGACACACACACACACACACACACACACGTATATATATACTAGGGATGAGCGAGTAAACCACTATCTGTATCTGTACTCGGAATGGGCGTGTCATAACCCGGAAGTGGGCGTGGTTTAACCGGAAGTGGGTGTGGTTTCCATCAATATATTATTTTACGTCTGAAATTAATATGGAATGATCAGAAGTTGATATGTGTTATTGTTTATTTGAAAACTATTTACAGAGCAGCCTCAGAATTGAGATTAAATATTTTTGACCACAATAGTAAAGAAACTATTACAGAACAAGTGTTTCAATAAAATCAGAACATTAATATTTAAGTGCATGGATTAATACATCTGAACTCATGCAGTAGAAACTAGGAAATATGAAATGCTAGTACCAGACACATTATATATATTTTTTTATTTTAATTTGATTAAACTGTTTTTTTTCTTAACGTTCTTGGCATTTTGCCACACAAAGTTAAACAAAACAATGTTGGTTAAGGTGTGTGTGTCTGAGAGAGATAGAGAGAGATGGAGTTAAAATTAAAATAAAAAACCCGACCGGAGCGGAGGTAGTGAGTGAGTGATGCAGCACGTCAGCTCTGTCTTGTCAAATGCACCATGTAAGTTACGAAAAAAGTAACTTTAAATATTCAACCGAAAAAGAGGCGAGCTGAAGAAAACCTAGGGAAAACTGAAGAAACGTGAGCAACAGTGAAGCAATCACAGCGAGATCCGTTACTGTCTATGTGTGTGCGTGGATGAGCCGGACGGACTGCGCTCCCGGCTGGCTAGAGAGTTTTGTGTGTAGGGAGGGGCGGGCGCTCTATGTGACTGACCAATCACAGAGCGTGAAGACAGTCAGTTACCCAATGACGATTTTCCTTCAGCACGATTACAGATATTTACGAGTTTTACTCGTTTCACGCTCGTATTCGTCAAAAATACTTTATCCGTACCGGATACTCGTCTGAAACGAGTATCCGGCTCATCCCTAATATATATACACACACACACACTTGTTTTAACTTACATTTATCGGGCCCACCCACAAATGAGTTTTTGGCTACACCACTGGATGGAAGAGGCTGAAGCACAACTATGGGAACCCAGAGGGCACTGCAAGAAGCCAAATGTCTGAGGCACTGAACAGTGCCGTGAACTTCATGGACAGGACCACGTTGTTTCCAGCTGAGACAAACTCGCCTAGCCCCGGCTCACCTGATGAGCTGTTTTGTGTTTCCAGGGTGATCCTAGAAAGTGACCCCCAGCAGGTGCTCCAGAAAGTCAACTACAGGGTAGGATGACTGTTGGTCTCTTCTGTGTACCAGTCATATTTGTAGGAACGTCCCATAAGTAGCAGGTTGTGGCTGTCAGGCCAAATCCTCGTATCTCCAGACATGTGACTGCTCACCAGCTGGATCTTCTCTAATCAATCAGAGAAGATGACCCAGGAGTGGGTTCATGCAGAACATGATTATGGAGATACCAGGTTTTTGTCTGACAGCTAGGATGTGAGGACAAAACTGAAGCAGCACATGTTTCCTCGCTTGTCCCTGCCTCACCTGTCTGTCTCTCCTTCTCCCTGTCTGTCCTCTGATTGGTGTCAGCTTTTGTCAGAGCCAGCCTATGGCTTCGTCCTGTTTGATTACATCACCGGTAACCTAGAGGCTCAGACAGACAGGAGCCAGCTGCTGTAGACAGTGGGTGGACCAAGGGTGTATCGATGAGCCAGCATGTAGACTAACGCCTGAGATTGTAGTGCTTCACCCTGCTGGTGCTAATAGCCTTCACCTTTTATCGGTGGGGGCTTGTTGTGTGCAGAACCTGCTCCGTGTGAATGTGACTTACTGACAGGTGGACATGTCCCACATGTCCACCACCATGAAGACGCCAGCAGCTTCAGGAAGGTTGAAGTGTCCCATTCTAAAGCATGTGGGAATGTTCCTAGTACAGCTTAGTGTGTGCGTGTGCGTGTGTGTGTGTGTGTGAGTGAGTGAGTGAGTGAGTGCAAGAGGTACTTTTGTAGCTTTCCGTTGTGTACATATTGATGTTGTTTTCTTTAACAGGCTGATGAGAATCCATTAACAGAACAAAGTGTGGCTCAGGTGAGACACACACACACACACACACATATTAAAAGGTGACCTTGTCTAGGTTGGAGCCGTTTGGTTCGACTCTGAAGCATTTTAGCACAGTTTGAGTTTTTTTTAGGCTAAGTTAGGGCGGAGAGAGGCAACAGCGTCCTCTAGAGTCACAGGTTCTGGTGGTTACAGCAGGTGGTGTAACACCTCCATTAAAATCACAGGAATGCTCCCCAGGGGAGGAGGACCCAGATTTGTTGACCTGCTCTATTCAGACTCTGAAATGTGACTCTTTTAGGTCTCCATGGTAACCAAATCACTAGTAACAAGGAGTCAAACAATAGATGGAGAACTCTGATGGCCACAATGTACCAAACATGCTGCTCACACACACACACACACACACACACACACACACACACACACACACGCGCACAAACCACAGCTCTTTGTGTCTGAATGCTACATCTAACATCGTGTTCTCATTCCTTGGAGTAAACATTTGAGACTTTTGTTCTGACCTGATGACTTGTTTGCATGCACACTAAGTTTTTGTTTGCTTGCTGCTTTAACCCTAACAGCACCTGACAGAGAAACTGGCCCTGACCACTAATGTAAGTCTCTGCTAACTGCTCTATCAGCCTCTGATGGTTACGGTCTGCAGGATCACAGATCCAGAGCATCCACAGATCCAGCAGCTGTTCCTGAGCTCCGAGTCCTCCTGCATGTTCCTTTTCTGCCCAGGTTAAAGGTGACACGTGTTGCAGAACATTTAAAAGCAGGTTCCAGTTGCATAAACAACTTGATCTGCTCCTGATCTGACTGAAGACTTCTCCTGCCCCCTGCTGTTGAAAGACAGTACTGCAGTGGCAGTTTGTTTCTCATATATAAAGTTTAAATCACCCGTAACTCTCTGGAGGCAGGCGTTACTGGTTAGCAACGTTAAAACCTTCCTACCTGGTTACTCCACACACGTCTCTCACGAGCATTTTTAACTCAGCAGTACCATGAAGACTTAGTTGTTCGTCCTTTTATCAACACTTATTTAGAGCCTGAGAGGGTTAAGCTCATTCAGTCACAGAGCTGCTGGTAACTTGATTTTACTTAAAGTCATTATAACTTTTACAGCGTTCCACTCTAACGTTCTGCTGACGTGTCAGGTCTTATAATAATAATAATAATAATAATAATAATAATAATAACGTAGTTATCTCATGACGTTAGTTTTCTGCACCTTACACTTAGTAACTCCTGGTTAACCTTCCTACCTCATCTGTTTTAGAACCAGTTTCACAGCTTTCATTCTGGTCGTTACCAGTTTTCACTGCTTTAGTTGCAGTTGTTACACTCAGTAATTCCTGGTTAATATTTTTATTCACACAAAATACACTGTAGTTCGCTGTGATTCGTTGTTGCACCTTTCACCGCTCTAGTTTTAGTCTCGTTGCACTTTTAGCAACAGTGTTTTCACCTGCTGGGTATTTCCTGGCTGACCACATTCAGTTCTCTTTACAATCTTTAATTGACATGTTAATTCTCTAATTGTAGTCATTTTTATGTTATCCCATTGCTCATTTCTTGTTTTTTGTCTCTTTAATGCTGTAAAGCACAATGTGTTGCCTTTGTGTGTGAAATGTGCTACATAAGTAAAGCTGTCCTGTGTAATAATAATAACGACACACTTGTTTGTGTGTTTCAGGTTTTACAGTCGGCTAAAGAGCAGATCAAATGGTCCATACTGAAATGACGAGCCCAGATAAAGAGTGACTCAATGAGCCAGTCAGACAGTCTGCTGGTGTTTTTTCTCTTATGATGTTTTCATCCACTGTGTGAAACGTGTCAGCTTCTCAGGTTTGGGCTGAGTGACTAGGAGATAGACGAGCAAGTCAGTAACCAGACCGGCTGTCAGGATAAACTAAAGGTGTGTAGGAGCCTGGACAGGTGATGTCAACAGCGCTGCTTCATGAGGGACGACCAGACCCCCCCCCCCCCCCCCCCCCCCCCCGCCAGTATACACTTAAATCAACATGTAGCACAAAGATGTCCGAGCTAATGTCTCATAAACACCAGGAAGCAGCTTCATGACACTACGAGGCTTTCTCTACAGCTCATGCACTTCTGAAGCTTTTGTCTATGATATTTACGTGTAAAAAGCATTTTGGAGTGGAGGTTGGAGTGAATATTTCTAGATAATGTTACAGATTATTTTCTTAGCCCAGCTTGTTGCTACCATGTTACTGATGATTGATTAATAAAAAAACTGTATTTATCTGCTAGCCTCAATCTCTTCATAGTCTGTGACTTTTGGCTGCTGAGCCACATTAGCCAATCAGAATCTATGCTCGTCAGGCCTCACTAGAGCAGGGGGCGTGGTCATGGGCATTATTGCTGTGATGTCACCTTACATAGGGTTGATGCCATCATGGAACATTTCCCAAAAAAACAATGAACCAAGATCATCTATAAACGGTCATTGTGCCGCTCGCTGGAGGGACTCTGATTGGAGCTTCATGACATGGTGCATTATCCTGCTGGAAGTAGCCATCAAAGGATGGGTGCATGGTGGTCATGAAGGGATGGACATGGTCAGAAACCATGCTCAGGTAGCTCGTGGCATTTAAACCATGCCCAGTTGGCACTAAGGGGCCTAAAGTGTGCCAAGAAAACATCCCCCACACCATGACACCACCACCACCAGCCTGCACAGTGGTAACAAGGCATGATGGATCCATGTTCTCATTCTGTTTATGCCAAATTCTGACTCTACCATCTGAATGTCTCAACAGAAATGGAGAGACATCAGACCAGGCAACATTTTCCAGTCTTCAACTGTCCAGTTTTGGTGAGCTGGTGCAAATTGTAGCCTCTTTCTCCTATTTGTAGGGGAGATGAGTGGTACTCGGTGGGGTCTTCTGCTGTTGTAGCCCCTCCGCCTCAAGGTTGTGCGTGTTTTGGCTTCACAAACGCTTTGCTGCATTCTTTCACAAAAATAATGATGAACGAGTCTGCTTCTAGACCTGCAGAAAAGGGGACACACATCAATACAGCAAGATCAAGCTATCACTGCGTAAACCTGATGAGGAAATATAAAATCAACATTGTTCAACTGAACAATCACACGATAATAAATCACAGTGCATTTAGTGCCAACCACAGCCTTAAGACGTGTTGAACGTGCCCAAGTCCATACTTATGAGAGCACCATGAGAGCACCCGTGTGTGTACACTAGGGTTTTCACGGTATGAAAATTTAACCTCACGGTTATTGTGACCAAAATTATCACGGTTTTCGGTATTATCGCGGTATTTTTTAAACAGTGTTGCATATGTTCAGAAAGCATTGATAGTCATGTTCTACACAAACTGAAATAGTTTTGAAAAGGTTTAACAGTGTTTATTAAACCTAAAATAACACAAAGCCTTAGCAAAAGTGCAACTTTTCACAAGTAAAGGAACAAATAGCTTCTTTTTCTGGAACGTGTTACAGTAGTCAGTGCAGGTTTAAATTATACAAATCCAAACATTCAAAACATAAACAATATGTAAACAAATCAAAGAAACACCACTTGTTTTCTCATATACTTGTTTTCTTCATTATCAAAATGAAAATCTAAAACTCCAGTCCACACTTGACTTGAGCGCTGTACAAGTCAACCTTAAAAAATATGTATTTAAAATAAATAGCCACTTTAAACAAATTACTAAAATAACTACACTATGTAATCAAATCCAAATGTTCAAGTATAAATGGCATTGAATAAGTAAACAAATCAATGACAAGGAACTAATTGTATATTTCTCTTCATCATCAACAAATAAGATGCTTCATCCAGCAACAGGGTGTCCATGACACGGTTTAAATGCTGGCAGAGGACGCTGCGGCTGCAGTATATAGTGACTCATTGCATTCTCTCTCAACCAAAAGTCCTCACGTCATGCATTTAAGCTAAAATGCTAATGTTAACTTACCTTGCACTGGCTGTAGAGACGTGGGTGATGGTCACGCAGATGTGCCGTTAGATTCGAAGTGTTGCTGCCTTTTGCAGACACTTTTTTCCTGCATGCTCTGCAAACGGGATAGCCGTCTTCTATTAACTGTCCCTCAGCATTTTTCAGAAATCCAAAATATGCCCATACTTCTGATTTAGTCTTCTTTGAGGGCTGATGGATGTCCTGGGCGATGCCGTCTCCTCCTTCGGCCATTATTTCAGCTTCAAAGTTTTGGTTGCAAACTAAAAAGTGCGTGTGCGCGGGAACTTCAGCTGAAGCGACGGTGGCTGGTAAGGGTCACCGCGCCTAAACCGCGGCCACGGTAAACCCACCGACATAATTTAGTTTTTTAAAAACTGGACGGTTATTTTTATTGTCAACTTTTTTTACCGGGGTTTACCGCTATACCGGTTACCGTGACAACCCTAATCTAGACTTTGCAAAGTGGAGAATGAAATGATACACACCACAATGGTCCGACAATTCACTCTCATCAAAGTCCTCCAAGAGTATTTATTAAGGCAGACACACAGAACGATAAAACGCACACACATTTACACACACATTTGAGGTTCTCACAGACTCTCAGGTGAGAAGGCACTCCAGGTGCAATTTCTAAAACAATAAAACTGTCTGGACTTCTCAAGGGAGTTCTACTGATAACAAGACCTGGACCGAGGTCGATACCTCCCTGTTGGAACCACAAAGTAAAATAAATGAGGATGAATCCTTCGTTTAAAAAACACCAGATGTTACACCATGGACGTCACTAGGATTGACTAGTTTTGGGTATCTTGACTAATTTAGCTAAGATCTATTGAAAAAAGCATCCCTTAATTTTGGGAAAAAAAATCCTAATAAAAAAGATCAGATTGTATGAAAGTTGTTAAAAATTGCCATGTCTCATTGGTGTGGCTTAGTAACACAATTGAGAAATGATTTTGGTTATTTTGACTAAAGCTATTGAAAAAAATCCCTTTTCAGGGACCAGAATAGAATAAACGCTCTGCCTCCATGTTGCTCACTGAGTAGGAGGACACAGCAGACACAGAGGTGCTCTCAGCTCCCCCACATTCATCAACACCATGTCTCCATTTTCAGCCGGTGTACTAGAACACTCGGACCTGTGAATGAGTGATGGCTGAGGCTGCCAGACTTGTCTGCCATATATTACACAAAGCAAATTTTCTTTTTCATCGTCATTTGTTAAATTAAATCTAAAATTGCAATTTTAACTGTTGAGTAAGGACAAAAAATCTAAACTGCATTCTTTTTTGAGCTGTCTCGCATCAGTCCACAAGAGGGCAGACACATTTGCAGCTATGAAAATGAGTGAGTTTGACAAGTGTAATCATTTTCTTTTTCTGTGGCACACTTTTATTTGTGCATTTATCTTGCTTAAAGGTGCAGTATGTAAGAATATAGTGAACATTTCACAGTGAGAAAATCCCAAAAGAGTCTAATGCTTCAGTCAATTTGGAAGCGAGGTTCTGCTGAAACATATTTCATATCCAGCTGGCTGCAGGGATTGTCACTTTTTCTCCTTTCAAAACAAAGGAAGGACGGACATATGCTGTTTACCAACAGTGAGTGTGGGGTTGCCATGTCTCCTGTGAGCTAATACTGCAACACCGACAATTGCAATTTGACGACGGCTGACAAAAACTTCCAGAGTGGTTCAAAGTGGTTGCAGTAACCAAATTTTAACTCAGAACTTCATGTTTACTTAATTTCTACATGATGCACATTTAAAACTATGAAAATTCTGAATATATATTATATATATGTTAATGTCTTCACTCTCTAAGCTTTCTAAAGTTCTTCTTTGAGGCCCTGGTACTTCACGTGTTTCTCATGTTCTTTTTTCTTGACGTTACCATCACTTGGTATTGCCACATCGGCCACAACGGCTGTCCTCTACTGTTTGTCCATCACCACAATGTCCAGTTGGTTCTCCATCACCTTTTTGTTGATCTGGACCTGGAAGTTCCACAGGAGCTCAGCTCTCTTGTTCTCTACCACCTTAGGGCGTGTTACCCACTTTGACCATGTAGCTACCAGTCCGTACTCTGCACAGATGTTTCTGTATGCGATGCCAGCCACTCGGTTGTGGCGTTCCACCTATGCTTTCCCTGCCACTATCTTACACCCTGCAGTTGTGTGTGCGTGTGCGTGTGTATATATATATATATATATATATATATATATATATATATATATATATATATATATATATATATATATATATATATATATATATATATATATATATGTATGTGTATATATATATATGTATGTGTATATATATATATGTATGTGTATATATATATATATGTGTATATATATATATGTATATATATATATATATGTGTATATATATATATATGTGTATATATATATATATATGTGTATATGTGTGTATATATATATATATATATATATATATATATATGTGTGTATATATATATATATATATATATGTATATATATATATATACATATATATATACATATATATATATATATATATATATACACGCACACACACACACATATGTGTGTGTGTGTGCAATATTTTGCGCTCTGTATACAAAGAAGAAAAAAATTAAATTCAATTGGATATCCAATTAAATTTTATTTTCTTCTTCATTGTACACAGAGTGCAAAATATTGCTAACAAAAAATTAAAAAAGTGTGACAAACATTAAAAATAGTTTATTTTCATCTTTTTCTGCAGTATTATTTTGCCATGATCACTATTGTTTAAGTATCAGTTTTATTTCAAGTAGTTTCCTTTTTTTTCAATTTAATTTTCTATTCCATTTTTTTCATATTCTGTAAGCTATTTATCTAATAAATAATAATTATTCTTTGTTACATGATGATCATGTTGGCCTATAGAGCTCCGGACCCCACGTGACTCTCAGTAGACGCCATATTGGCAGGTAAAAAAAGGTAAACAAACACGGGTCGTAAACTGAACATGAACGGAATCAGCTTGGATTTTACTTCGTCTGAGTTTACTTCACACTTTAAAACTGAAGAAATCATTTTATATAGTCAGAAATTAAATAGACTAAACATCTCCGACAGCTTACCATGCCCCTGGGATACTTTTTACAAACGCCAGAAGCTGTCAGAGCGGACTTCTTACCGGACCTGGCCGGGGAACCCCTTGGGATTTACCCGGAGGAGCTGGCTCAGGCGGCTGGGGAGAGGGAAGTCTGGGCCTCTCGACGCTACTGCCCCCGTAACCCGACTCCGGATAAGCGGATGAAA